GTTGTTGGAACAGTGGAAAGACAACAAAGGCACTGTTTGGTGGAGTTTATTTTGTTTCCGTCAAGATTTAATGAAGTGTGTTTTATTGAGCCTGCTAAGCGTAAAATGAGTGCTTTTTTAAACAGTCAGGCCATAGCTTCTTGCTCATTTGTTTTAGTCTGAGGATGCAGGTGCCGCTAATGCGAACATCTAGTCTGAAAGTCATACACAGCCCACCTTTAAAAACACCACACCACTAAGTTACAATAAAAACAACTCTGAAACATTACACATTTTATCAGGTGCTACAGATGATGAAAACCATCGCCATACGTCACGTGTGTGTATGCATACCTCAGGACCGTGATGACACGGTGTTTTTCGGCGCATTGGTGCATATTTGTCATGGAAAAATTCCAGCTGCTCTGGCATGGTTGAAGCTTTGACGGATCGGTAAAACTGGAAGCCTTGCTGAACTCAATGTTCAACAAATTGCAATTCAAATGGAGACAGAATTTTCAATTAGGGTCAAAATGGAACAAGACGGACGACCTCATCCAAATATGGCCATGGATAATTAAACAAATCCAACATGCGGTTGATGTCAACCAGCCCCCTCAATACAATAGACAACTGGGCAGCAGATGAAACACGCCAATTAATAAGCCACCCACGGTTGAAAAGAGTAGTGATAACTGCTTGGTTTGCTTTTAAATAGTAAACAGTGTTCATGACGCAGACATGTTCAAATTCGACTTGTATTTCACTTAGCGTATTGCGACCTGGAGACCCACAGCTCATACCTGGAACCTGATTGGAACCAGAATTTTGGATTGGGACCCGAGCCCGCACTCGGGTCTGGCTAAAGTTTGTTAAAGACCACCATACAGTGTTGCCATAGCTTGGACTGGGTGAGGTTGGAAAATCATAATATTTCCTGCTAATCATCTTTTACATCTATATGCGCATGCGTGTTACGCTACAATATTCATAATCACATACTAAGTTTAAACGCACTATTATCCATTAAATCAAATGTGTACCTAGTATTTTATTGGAACAAAGACTGATTGTTAAAAATCTATGAAAGAAATCAAATTGACAGAATCAGACATGAACTGTGATCCGCATGATTATCATAAGACAGCATGTGAATTTTTTTCCCAGTAGAATTTATGCAGGATGGATGAAGCGGAATAATATTGACGGATTACTGTGCAATACCATTGCTCAGCTAGTGGAAGGTGAGCGGTTGAGTCTTGGCCAACTTTAGGATACAGGCGAGATTGTCTGACTCTAAAAGACATGGAAGCATGTTTAAAAAAAATTTAGATCAGTGCTTTGCCTCCTGCTGCTCTCAGGTATTTGAAGTGGCAAGAAGCCCCTGTAAGGCATGCTACTCAACTTCAAATATGCATGAATCACACATAACACATGCAAGCAGCACAAACTGATTCCAAGTTCCTTCTTAATACTTAATGCATTGGCGGTCCTAAAGTGGAATTCAGTCAGCATTAGGAGGAAGTTCAAAGTTGCCTTATGGCGTTCTTTTATTTAGGTCTTCAGAACAAATGTGGGATTGGATTGAATCTTCTTGGTACGTAGTTGATGGACCAAATACGCGTGGCAAGAAATATAAAGACGCCTCCGATACTTACATTTCCCTGTGGTGCCACCTAACTTAATGTAAATCACCAGGTGTAATGTCTTTTTATCATAATTCTTTTCATGCCTTAGGGCAAAAGCTGCATGCCAACGACAATTGACCTATCTCTTTATACATGAGGAGGAGATTTTGGATTGCCCATAGTTGTGATCAGAGGGGAAGCTTAATGCATTTTACCAACCACATCGTAATTTCGGTGTGTAGGTTTTCTTGGAAGATATTCTGACAAGATGAAGCAAGGAAAAAAAATCTTGCTTAGAGCCCTAACTACATGTTACCATGAAAGAATTTGAAGAGTCGTTTATAGGCCACGTGCAGGTAATGCTACAAACAGTTAACTAGTGCAGCTCCATGTCAACCTTCATCAAAATCTCAAACGCTGCCTGTTGGATGTTTGTTCTTGAAAAAAACAGAAAAGGACGAATTAAAACTATTACAAACAGCTCATGCAGCCGCCAGAAATGGGGTCTTGTTTTGAAGCTCAAATAATTGGCACTTGCTAACCTGCTTGGCATACACACTTCTGGTTCTTCGCGGGCGGGGGGCCGGCGTGTGCAATATTGGCTTCAAAACAACAGACCATTCTTCTGCATGAGCTGTTTGTAATAGTTTTATTGTCTTGTTTTGTGTTGTTTATCAAGAACAGAATCCACAGGCACGTTTGAGATTTTTGATGAAGGTTGACATGGAGCTGCAGCTAGTTAACTTTTGTACAGTTACTGCACGTGGCTAACCACGAGCTCTTCAAATCCTTTCATGGTGGTAGTACAATGTTAGTTCAGGCTCTAACAAGATTTTTCTTGCTTCATCTTGTCAGAAATCATTTCCAGAAAACCGTAACACACCGAGAATACGATGCTGGGTTGGGGTAACAATGCATTTAAGGACTTCCTCTGATCCGACAAACTATGGCATCCATGGTTCTCCTCCTCGATCTATAAAAGAGTAGTCATGTCGGTTGGCGTGCAGCTTTTGCCCTAAGCACTGAAAGGACGATTATGATAAAAGAACATTACATTATTAATTAAGTACGGCTGCACACAGGGAAATGTAATTATGCTGAGGTTATATTCTGCACGGTATTTGGTCGCTCACTTACGTACCAAGAAATTCAAAATCCAATCCCATTTGTCTGAAGATAAATAAAAAGAACGCCATAAGCACACTGTCTGATTCTCCTAATGCTGACTGAATTACTTTAGGGAGCGCATGCATTTAAAGTATTAGAAGGAACTGGAATAGTTTCTGTGCTTGCATGTGTGTATGTGTGAATCATGCATATTCTGAGGTGAGTACAGCTTACAAGGGGTCTCCACTTTCAAATACCTGGGAGAGCAGCATGGAGGCAAAGCCACTGATCTATTAAACACTGCTTCAGTGTCTTTTAGAGTCAAGGACAATTCGCCGGTGGTATTCTACAAGTTGCAGACTCAACGCTCACTTCACTAGCTGACAATAGGTAGTTGCACAGTAATTTCAAGTATTATTTGTTTCATCCATCCTGGCCATAAATTCTACCTCTGGGGAAAAAATTCACACTGCTGTCTTTATGATGTTATCTATGATCCACAGTTCATGGTCTGATTCTGTTCAATTTGGATTTTTTCATAGATTTTAGGAACAATAGTTTGTTCCAATGAAAGATAGCTAGGGTGTACAACATTTGATTTAATGGGGATAATAGGTGCGTTTAACTGCATCCCCGTGTGACCTGAGTTGATTATGAATATCTGCTACGTAACACCATTCGGCATAGTAGATGTCAAAGATGATTGGACAGAAATATTATATGTTTTCCAAATCACCCAGTCCAAGGCTAATGGCAGACCACTGTATGGTGCGTCTTTCAACAAACTTTACCAGACCTGAGTCGGGGGCTGGGTCCCAATCCAAATTCTGTCCAGATCAGGTCAGGTATAGCTGTGGGTCTCAGGGTCCAACTACGCTCAAGTGAATACAAGGTCGATTCTTGAACATGTTGCTGCGTCGAATGACACTGTTACTATTTAAACAAACAACAGTTATCACTACTCGTTTTCCAACCGTGGGTGCTTATTATTGGTGGGTTTCATCTGCTTGCCGAGTGTCTATTGTATTACGCTGGTTGAATCAACCGCATGTTGGATTTGCGTGGTTAATTATCGCATGGGCATATTTTGGATGAATCGAGTGACCTAGAGCTCATGTAACAACAAAATTTTATCCTCGGTAACGGAGAGTGTCTAGAGGTTCTCATTGTGTGAATATCAAGCGATATTTGAGCTAAGAAACACTCTAGTAGTTCATGAGTACATATGAGCGAGTATCACGTCGATAGTGAGTAGAATGAGCTGCACCACAAGTCTCGACAGCTATCGGACACGTAGATTGCTAAGTTTGCCACGTACCAGCAATCGACTGAAGAGAATGTCTATATAAACGGACAAGAAGACGAAAAGCAAGATGGTGTCTCAGTAGAATGCTTGGACATTTTTCACCAACGGCCAAAATATAGTCTGAGCGACAATGCGAACCTGTAGCAATCATCCCACAGTGGCCATATGCACGGCGCCTATACTATCATCTATACATAACCAATAAGTCTATACACAGGGACAAGTGATCTGTTATCAACGGATGTATCGGATCTCTAGTGCCTCGTTACACATCAGAGGCATACCGAAGGTCCATTATATTAAGTCAACCTGAACCATGCATGCACAACTAAGAACTGAGTTGAGAATATCAGTTCAGTGCTAGTCTACTTCAGATATTTAAGCATAATATAATACTTAAGATATTATCGTGGGTAGTTAGGTCCAGTATCTCTAGTACACACAGTTGCTCTGCTGCTACTGTACTACTGAGTCTACAAGACAGTCTCTCTATGAGGAATTCGTCAGCACATCTACTCTCAGATTATATAGGGCTGATAGAAACATTGCTATGACCACCAGGGTGCCAGGTGGTGTCATAATGTTATGGCTGATCACATTGCTGTTGGGAATGAATTGCAAAGCATGTACCATTTCTGCCTTTGTCCTTTGCAGGTATCACATAGAGTGTTAGGATACAGTACATGTCACAGTAATGTATTGAACCCCCTTAATATTATGTGTTTGACAGCTTAACCAGATCCTGTCTGATCTGTTTACTCCTACTATAACAATGCCCATTGATTAGGGTATTGGCAATTCTTACTCATAGGGTCACTGCAGAGAACTGGACAGCTTGTTTCTATTCCAAATCCAATAACTAAGATTTAAAAACCAGAAATCTTAGAAGCTGCCACTAGCATCCCCAGGTCCCCACAGATATAACATGGCTGAAACCTGCTTAAGGGACAATAAAAAACCGACTGTCTTTTTATATCCAGATGCCTGAACCAGATGAAGAAAAATGACGTGTCTGTGGACGATGTGTTCAGCCAATGTGTGTTCCGGCAAGATGAGGGAGACATGGTGCTAAAGGCCGTGCGTATCGTCCAGCCCGACTACCAGCCCAACTGCCAGCCCCATTCCCTCAACAAAAACGAGTACTCCTCACCACTCGTTAAGGACTTCTATGCACAGGTATCACAGGATAGCTTTGACCTACGTACCACATAGGTTGAGACTATTAGCTAATTTTATTGAAATTCAAATATAATTGTTTTGTAATGCAGTAACCATCAATTGAGACATAACAACAGTGATAACTGTCACTGTTGTTTTGTCTCAATTGATCTTATAAATACAGATCTCTTAGATCTTGATTTTGCAATGTTTGCTATTATTGTGAAGTACAAACTGTTAAGGTTATTTCACTTGCAAGATTTCTGTAGTAGCTTGAAGTGGTAATAATAATAATGGTAATAATGTTTTTTTTCTAGACTTAAACTTTCATTGTTGCATGGATATTTAATGTGAAATACTTAAAATTTGAAATTACGTTTTTAGGTGCTATAATTGGTACATTTGAATGTCATCAGCATATGGATTGAAAATGTGTGACAATGTGAGATGTATTAGCAGAGAAATATCAGTGGACCTGGCAGTAATCCTTGTTTGCAAAAGTTAACTATAAGTGAAGCATTCAGAGATGCATGGGCTTTAACATGCAGGCTTTCTTTAATTCACAGAAAATAGACATCATAACCAAGATGATGTACATCTAAGTGTTGGCTGCTTGTCTTCATGCTTCAGTCCTAATGTAAATCCTATGGATGTAACAGTGTCTACTACATGCTAATCTTTGGATGGTAGATGTTTGTTGTAATTGGCAAATTTTATACCCCACTTTGTATTGCTTTAAAAGGTGATGTAAAAAAAAAAGCACCAATTTAAATGTAAAGCTAAAAAGCATTGTAGAAAGGACTTAAGGAAATTTATTTAAGTTAATCTAAGTGCACTCGCATTAATATATAACTATACAAATAAGAGGTTTTTTTTAAGGCTGAGTCTTGTGGATGTTTTGAGAGTCAAAGCACCAGAGAGCTGGGAAAGCTGTCAGAAGGCTCCAGCGTGACTACGAAAGATTTGATTGTCACCCCTTCACAGCCAGACAGGCACTGGTCTATTTATAGTGAGCCAACTCTCCTTTCTAATGGGTCCTCTGCTTTCCTTGCCTCTCCTCCTCTCACCTCTCCTCCCTTTTTCCCATCTCCCTTCCCCTTCTGATTGTCACATGATTCATTAACAGCTTTTTGTTCAATTGCAGTATTTTTAGCCCCATTATTTGCACCACATTCACTGTGGTCTTATTCTGAGTAACATATTTTTGGCCTGTGTGTGATGGCCGCAGTCAGCAGGTTGTGTATTTTATCTTACGAGTGTATGTTAAACAATGCTGCTTAGTGAAATGTGAGGCAGATCAAACCTGACTGCTCCATTACTGTTGTAACTTTGACTAACTAATGGTTATCTGACTATGCCTGTGACTTTTTGGCAGGTTGATTTAATGAAAGGCTGTCCAAATAACTGGTCCACTAGATAACAGAGGAGCAGACTGGAAGGTCTCTGGAGGCTTTTGAATGTGTTAGCAGCAGACACACAATCTAATTAGAATATTGTTTGTTGGTGTGAGATGGAATTTTGATTAAGTTGATGCTCGTACAGAATGCAGTTTGATCTGGTTTCAACTTGTCATCAGAGATTTCATGATATTTTATCATTTGATCATTATTATCATCTGAAAACTGGCTGGCCTATATGTGTGCCCCCGGCTTTTTTTTGTTTTCATCACAACACTAAAATTAGTTTGTATTGTCCTCAGTCTCCTGGTCAAATCTTGTTAATCCATCTAGTGAATGCATTGTGAGCTTCACACAATAGAGATAGGAAGGAAAAACAGTATTATAGGTTTGGAAATTTGAAATTTTTCAGTTTTATGAAGTATTCAAATAAGTTCACACAGCTGCATGTGAACAATATCTCCTTTTATATAGAGATTTTTACTTTGTACAAGCTGCAAGTTCGTACTTTCAAAACTATTGTGCCAGCACGTTTTTCACTAGCTATCTATTGATTTTACACCATTCTACTAATAATGAGGTGTTTGCTTCTTTCTTGGCTCGTATATTGTTCTGAAGTTGTAATATAATACAAGACCTGCCTGGTGAGCAATTTATGCGCCACGCTACCTTAAGCTTTACTCTCGATGCTGTCCATGCTACATCTCTCTGAGGCCTGATTCACAGTCCATCTTATCTGCTGTCAATGAGCTAATAAAGGTTCTTACTGCCGGACTACATCCACTCATGCCTACAACCTCTCTATGATGTGCACAGATAATGTCCTGCGCTCTTATTGCCTTGGCAAGGTCACCATCTCTTTTAACGGTAATTGACTTTTAAGCCCTGTTGCTTAGTTGGTCACCCTGTTAGTGCAACCCACTTTGATCTGACAGGATGTAAGACTACTGGCACTGCATCAAGGGGTTTGATGCTCATCAGCATTTGTAAGTAACACAGATGTAACCAACAATCATCTGAAACAATCCTGCTATTCAGTGTTCAGTTGAATGCTGAAAATAATAAACTGGCAACAATTAACTAACAATTAAAAAATTCTTTCTTTTTCTAATTGATCGTCTCAGGCAAAGCTTATCCCCAGGTTGTATACTACAAACTTCTAGAAAGGAAGTTCAGGATTATTAAGGTCAGGATTTGTCGATCTCCCTTTGTGGAGAGGTTAAGCAAAAGGCAAGGAAGTCCCCCAATGTCATACAGTATGAAGCAGTCATAATTTCTATGTTATTGTCTTTGTCTCTGTTGTGTGCTTGTGTATGTGTTTTAGAAGGGAGACTACAAGTACCCCAAACTGGACTTAACCCAGAAGGAGCTTCAGAAGCGTTTCAAACGTCAGCTCAGCATCGAACAAGCCTGCACTATCACCATCGAGTCTGTGGAGACTTCCAAGCCTGTCACTGAAAACATAGTCAAAATGGTAAATAAACCCACCTGTTGCCTGTTTTTATCTTTAATCACACCCACAATACACTACACTGCTCAAAGTGTCCATTTATAGTTATGTGATGCTGAAAATCTGCAAATATTTTCAAACATGGTATGTTATAAAATGGAGTTGATAATAAAAGGTGGTTAAGTTAAACTTGAAGAAAATATTATGCTCTCCAAGTACCACCATTAGTGTAGGCCCACCCTACTCAGCTACGGATATATATATATATATACACATATAGATATATAGATATATATAGATAGATCTATATACATTTCTCAACCTTCTGCTAAATCCAACGTCCTAACTCCAAATGTAAAATACATACTGTAGAGGGTGCATTTATCTTGTCAGCTTGGTTTGTTTGGAGTAATTATATTAATATAACACCATTTAAGTGGTGATGATGCGATGATGCATTGACGCATGCATTGAAATACTTCTTCTATCTAAGGTTTTCCATTGTCTCCAAGAATAAAGTTACTCTGATATAAACTTTGAAATGATATGCATTTAGGCCTGACAGGTTAGAGGAAGAAACATATTCCTGTGGTGTGCCTTCTTTCCAACTCTGGCATTTACAGTCCAGCCTGGCTCGTCTGCCTCTGCAGATGGGCTACGTGGGAAGTGAGCAGGCTGAGAGTCCCTGGTGGTCAGGAAGCATTTACAGACAGGCAGGGCAGAATAATAATGTATTGTAATGGAGGCCTCTGGAGAGAACGCAGAGTCACCTCTCCATCCACAATCCAGACTATCTCTCTGCTTCAGTCAGACTGGGTAAAACTCTTCAACTGAAGAGTGAAAATGAACACATACACACAGTCGTGCACAGAACATACATATAACCACAATACCTCCACAGGCACAAGTATTTACATGAACAAAAGTGCTCACCCATCTACGGATTCTCATTTTCCATTATTGAGTTAGTTGTTTCATGTCAGTCACAAATTGTATTATAATGCACCAAGTAAAGTGATGTAGTACGTAGGCTCCAGGCTTAAATTAAGTTTTCTCCCACGTTCAAAAAACATTAGATCAACACATGTACCAAAGTGTGAGAGCACAGTACGGTCTTGGTTTAAATTGGTTTAAAAAGGAAGATAATCATCATGTGGCTTAAAGATACTAAGGTCTCTTTTCCCTTGTGACTGTAGGTAAAAACAGCTCATTCTAAGGTAATAAAAAACAAAATTCTTATATTCAGGGGATTATAAACTAATGAAAAAAATATCTATTAATTTTTTTATTCTATTTCTGTAAATAGATCCACCCTAAATGTTACAGACTCGACCTTTAAACTTGACCATACTGGAATGCGAATAATAATTTATCAATGATAAATTACGTTCCTCCCAACAAAACCTTAATAATAAACCAAGACAACCAAGACAAGAAAGTAGAATACGTTTTTCCTTTCCATTTTAGTCTTAGATGAATAAGTCTGTGGCCTAGTTGCGTTTGTCTCAGAAGGATAGTCTGTTTTCTCCCCCGTCATCTGGAGGCAAACAAGCCTAACCATCAAATGGAATGTATGCTTATGTTGCACGATACTGTATGTCCAGTGAGAGGTGGCTCCATCTACGGCTTCACAATTTATAATGACTTTCCATCTGGTTCATGCAGTATGTGATAAACAAGGATTGCAGCAGGATTGTTTGTTTCATTGGACACATTATTGATGGGTTTCCTGCTGGCAGTGACTGTTTAAGATGGATGGATGTGTTGTCCTTTTAGAGGGGGCACCTGGCCAATCACTTGGCAATGTGGCACAAGATCCTCCTTCAGGCCCTCAGGGAGAGCAGGAAGAACCTGGTCCACAACACGGACATCCGGTTTAGCGTTTATCCCTATCTCTGTCTGCTGGAGGATGAAGAGTATGTTGACATCATGATACAGGTAATACAAACCACCTAACCCAGCCTAGCACTCTATGAAATGCCATAAATCTAGGCTTTAACAATGACGTGTCAACGTTACGATAAAGTGAAGCTCTCGTCAATCAAATCTCTTTGACTCAAACATTATAATAATGGTGTGTAGTGATGTCACTGTTACCCTCCTTTGTTTTCTCGACACTGCTGTTGTGCAATATGACCCAACCAATCTGGGAAACCACAAAACACTAATCAAGTGTCTTGACAGTGACAACCGCTGCTAAAGCATCAGGCTTTATCTTTGGCAGCAAAGGAGAGCATGCTTTGATCAGATACCTTTGCTTCCAACATAGACAAATAGTATGTGACGTTAATTCTGAGCAGATGGGTTTCACTTTGATTTTCCCTCTGACTGAAGGATTTCTTTTTCATTAAATTGAATCCGATCTGGGAAATGATCTGCTTGTTGTTACAGAATTGTCATAAATGTTTTCTTGTTTTTGACCTTTTTAAAATGTGTCCTACTCTTGTCCAGACTATTGCCAAAATGCCTCTGAGTGGAGGTACACTGATGTATTTAGCTGCAGAGCTGGGCCAGAAGATCTACAGCAAGTATGCTGTGAAGCAGAAGCTACAAAATCACATAATGGATAAATTGGCCAACATTTACAACGATTACACAGAACTTCTGGCCAAAGATACCAAGGTACAGAATTCATCATGTTCCAGATGTCTTTCCATGTGTGTAATTCCATGTGTATATGTGTATGTGTTTATAACAAACCTATAAACAGATTATTTGTATGCAGTCCGTAGGGATTGCTTGGTGCCTACCATATTTATGTGATTTTTTTTTTTTTAATTGAAAAGATGCAAACACTGCCTCTCTGGGATATGGAACAAGCATGATATTTCAGAAAACATTAATGTATAGTTATGTTTTGTGTCATAAATTGAACAAAAAAAGTTTGGGCGCCCTAAGGGTTCTGCAGTCTCAGATTCTTTTTACTAGATCTCAGATCTTATTCAGCTCCTTAGGCATGAGTTGTCATGAGGAAATGTCAGTTGGTGCTAATTTCACATCTTTACAAATACTCTGACCATGGGTTCCTCTAAGTAGCTGTGTGAAATTTTAAAGGTTTTTTTATATATATATTTTTGGGGGCTTTTATTCCCTTTAATCGTGGAGTCGAACCCATTGCAGCAACTGCACTGCAGCAAGGACTCAGCCTTGTAAATTAAGTTTTTGATACCCACAATGCAGAGGATGGCTTGGCTACATATTTATTTATATACAAGAAAACCTTACCTGCATTCACATCATAAAATCCAAAGTCAGAAGTATGCAACAGAACATCTACAAAAGCCTGATGCATTTCGAAAAGTGCTTGTTGACTGATGAAGTTAAAGTAGAACTCTTTGTCCACAATCAGCAACAGTATGTTTGGAGAGAAAAGCGAGGTGCATTTCATGAAAAGAACCCCTTGCCAACCGATAAGCATGTGGGTGGATCTATCAGCCAGTGCCGTGCTTTGTGACTGTGTTTACCACCTCATTGACATGCTATTCATTATTTTTTGGTGGAATAAATGACTGCTTTTCCTCAATGGGATTTCATAGCCAGTGTCACTGACTCAGTTTTCCACCAGTGTTTTGATGGTTTTGGTACACTGGGGAAAAAAGCTTATGTCATCAAGACTATAATAAGCAGGAGCTCATTATACTGCAGTAGTTAGTTATACTAGAAGGTAGTTAAGGTGTTTGTTTTATGCAAGTTATTTTACACGTAGCCTTTGTAGTTCAAATGTATGCTATATTTATTTATGCTTATATTTGTTGTTGTTATGACACAAAACAGTAACTTCTTACTTGTTTGTCTGGGTTCTCACTACACATTTCTATTTTCTTGCTCCCATTTTGAAGGATAAACACCATAAATGTCAACTCAGGTCTATCTTATTTATACAGTATGGACTACTATCACATCCCTAAAGAAAAACAGATGGCTATGGCTAATCTGTGGCTTTTCCGGTATTTATCATATTTCCTGAAACATAACAGCTATGGTTTGATTAGATCATAAAAACAGTGCTTGTTTGATTCGTTATTTTAGGTCTCAATATTAAAATGGACTTCTAAGGGTCTCTCGCACATGTTGACATGCCTTGCACCGTAGCGGGTTGTGATGATTTATTTGTGTTTTTAACTCCATTCTGCTCCCTCTAGGTGTACAATGACCTTCCCAGGGAGCGTTGGTGTAAGCTTGAGATGGAGAACTTTGCAGGACCCACGCTGCAGGCAGGAGAGACCAATTGGCCATACATAGTAACAGTGGAGCTGGGCACTTTCCTCGTGAATATCATGGTCAAGAACCTTAAAATTAACTGCGACATCCTAAACCCGTCGCACAGCAGGAAGCTCATCCCCATCCTCTACCACATGTACACCTTCCGAAGCACACGACAGGTACAGTAGATGCTCAGTTCTTTCCAAGTGTTCACTTGGTATATTCCAGCAGAATAGTTGGCTACCTTAGAGTTGGTAGCGATTATGCTAAAGTGGTCTTGCCAAATAGACAGGGATTTGATAACCTGGTAACAGGATTCCTGAGCATTAACCCAGAGCAAAAAAGATCCTTTCAACTGATATTTATGTGGAAAAATGGTCAAGGATTATACTTAAAGAGATCTCCTGGAAACCAACATTGAGAAAAAGATTCAAAATAAAACACAGTGGCCTATTCATTATGAGAACCCTCCATCAATCAAATCATATTGTCATATCCTGTTTGACTTTGAAAATTACACATAAGTCTCATTAAAAAATTTAACAGGTACAGTTTAAGTAGTTGTAGAGTTGACATTTTCATTAATAAGGAAAGATTCAAAGTGAAGCAAAAACAAAGGAAATACCTGAAAACACTTGACCTTCACTTTGGACTGTATGTCCCTCTAAAGCCTATTACCCTACACGTTTGTGAACCTGCCTGTCCAGTGTGGAAGACCAAAGAGTGTGAATTATAAAACCATTTCCCCCTTGTGTGAGTTGGCGAGGGAACAGTTGAGTAAGATGAATAGGTTCCAGGCTAATCCCTTTTTTAGTGTCCCCTTAATTGGCTCGCTGATTTACTGCCATGGGACCCTGCAGGAGGGTGAGCCGACCGTGTCGGGGGAGAGGCGCAAGGAGAGAAAGAGAATTGTGAACTTTTGGACTTGATGGACTTTGACAGTAGGGCATACTGTTGCAGAATTCTGTCTCCCCCCCTCGCCTTTTCTTTTCTCTTATTCCCCCCCTCCCCTTTCTCTCTCTTTGGAGGTTAGCCCATCAGGGGAGCATCCTAATGATTTTACAGCGCAGCATGACAGTCTGACTCATGCAAGCAATGCTGAGGTGTTTTATTTTTTTGTCAGCTTACTGTATTTTTTCTTATCATGGTCTTTATGTCCAGTCCCACATGCTGTAAGTGTGAGTTAGAACTAAGACACAATAACTGTTTCACATCAAAGCCATGACTTCATCCCTAGTGTGCTGCACTGACTCCTGACCAGGGTTTTAAGTAATTAAATAAAGAAATGCGTGTCATCCACTCTCTCAACCCCCTTCCTGTCTGTCTTCGGCTGCCCTATCCAATAAAGGGGAAAAGCTCAAAAAACAATACTGCTATGAAACTGTTAGCGTCCTTAAATTTGGTCTGTTTGAAACATTTGTCACTTTTTTAAGAGCAAATTTGTTTGTGACTGTTCTTTTAAGATTTCCTATGATGTTTCACCCTCCAGATCGGCTTTATCAAGCCCCACCCCATACTGTCTCACATTCAGCAGGAGGCCATGCAGACCACATTGACCTTTGACTCGAATGTGATGCCAATGCTGTGTCCTCCTGTCCCATGGTGTTCTGTCAAGTTTGGAGCCTACCTGTTGACACCAACCAAACTGATGCGCGCAATGGAAGGGGCCACACAACACGAAAAGTTGTTGGAGAAGAGTCAGAACCTCCATCCAGTCCTGGACTCTCTTAACCAGCTGGGCAACTGTGCCTGGAAGATCAACAAACCTGTGTTGGATATTATTATCTCAATCTTCAATGATCGGGGCTGTGAAAATTTAGACATCCCTCCTCCTCTGTCAGAGGCCCCCAAAGTAACCTATTCCTTTGATCCCACTCATACTGTTGCTGAAAAAGTCCGCTTCAGGCAGGACATGATTGAAGCCAAAAAGAAAACCAGTGAAATGCACAGCATGCGTATGGATGCTCTATATAAACTCTCCATTGCCAACCACCTGCGAGATGAGATCTTCTGGTTCCCTCACAACATGGACTTCCGGGGACGTACCTACCCCTGTCCTCCGTACTTGAATCACCTAGGAAGTGATGTCACACGGGCCATCCTTCTGTTTGCAGAGGGGAAGCCTCTCGGTCCAAAGGGCCTGGACTGGCTAAAGATCCACTTAGTCAATCTGACAGGACTGAAGAAGAATAGCTCACTACAGGGACGGCTGGAGTATGCCAGCACTATTATGGAGGACATACTGGACTCTGCTGACAACCCTCTCAATGTCAGTTTGTCTTTATTGCTCTTTCCTGTTCATTGATAGCTTAGTCCAACCATACATTCATAGCATAGCATAGCATTCATAGCATTCAAGAATTTCTTGTAAGAACTACTAAGTTTTGAAGTATGCACAATTTCATTTTGCATTTTGCTACTATTTTAGATTTCTAAAATATGCAGATTATAACATAACCCCTGTCTTTCTTACTGGGGGAATGGTCACTTTAAGCAGTAACAAAATCTGAAAGGGATCAAAAAAGGGCACATGAATATCTGTCAAAACAAAAAAGGAAAGTGCGTTGTGCTTGTGTTTGTCTTCATCAGGGTGGGAAGTGGTGGATGAATGCAGATGAGCCTTGGCAGGCTTTGGCCTGCTGCATGGAGATAGCCAATGCTGTGAGATCTCCTGATCCGACACAGTTCATCTCTCATTTTCCTGTTCACCAGGTACCATGAAACACTTGAAATAATTATTCATCTGAGTTGCATTGCAGTTTGAGTGCCAGGTTTAAATTCCTACCAGTATGTTCTTTAATAAGACATTAGTCGCAAACCAAAAATGCAAAGGTAACTTTATTGTTCTTAACTTAGATGAAACACATAAGATGATTATAAGATTATTCTTAGCAATTTACTCATCTAACAAAACCCTAGGCCAATCATAGTTCCAGTTTATAGCGTGTGCCATTCAGTTATGTTTTATAGTGCTCTTTTCAGAGGGCACATCAAAGTTAACAAGGCAAGACCTCTCCCCAGCCATTTGAGGCCTTTTTATATTATCTGCCATAAACCTGTAGCTCTAGTCTGACCAACCAGACCACAGCTTCAGCTACCCTGTACAGAGATCTGGCTAATAAGCCCTGGCCTTATCTTATAAACCCAAGCACCAAGAAAATCTTCTATTCTATCTAGTGTCAGTGTTGAGTGTTTATTTATTTACTGCAATATGTAGCCCACTAACTTTTCAACCTTATGTCAGGAATTCAGTAATTTATGGGTTTATGCATAACCTATGACCGTTAAAGTAAAGCAGCACTGTCTACTCCTCAGGCATTTGTTAATTGGCTTGTTATAATGTAGCTTTTATTTGGCTACTGATAAAATGTCTCTCATTTATTTATGTAGTGAGCTAATACACATTTCATATTTCCTTTGAATGATTAATGTTGATTATAGCAAACAAATTACTGCAAATTCCCTTAACACGCCAATAAAGTAGTAATGCAAGTAGCAATCATTTTCCTGATTCCAGGCTTAAGCATATTCAGAAGAATAAGACAAAAGAAAAAGCATTAGAAAAAATGCAGTGTAATCAATGTGGCTAAACATATTTAGCTCTTCATCGCAGCTGCAAGGTTTTAATTAAGTACAGCTTTGAATTTAAACCTGCTTAGGTGACTGTAGATGAAGATTAGCCTTATGGCTAAATCTGTCACATTTAAATCAAATTGATGTTAATTAATGTGTACTATACCTGATAAAATAAATGAATAAAGAAAAGGAAAGAATCTAAATAGCTCAAATGAGTCAATTTATGTGAGAGACTTTTAACTGCAGTTGCAGAACTTAAGAAGAAGACAGAAGGCCTGCTGCTCTTCTACATAACACAGATGCTATAGCTTAAACATAGGGCTCATATAGACATAACAGAGAGACAATGAAACGACAAGTTGTGCAGTTGGCAGTGACGTTGCGAACTTCACTGCAATATTTATATTAAGCTTTTTTTATTTTGCCTTGTGAGCTGAATAAGGGGATGTTGCTGGTACCCAGATGCAGCTAATCTCATTTGAACTGGTCAGTCTGCTGGACAGCTTAAAACATTACCTTTTTGATTGTGACAATTAAACAAAAATCCAATATAAAATTCACCAATTATTTTTGAGTTAAGGGTGAATGGCGAATAATTTATTATAAGTTAATTGTGTACGTTCCTAGTTTCTTTCCTTTGTGTGTTGCTTTGAATGATGCAGTTAATTAAAAATGCTCATATACAGTTTGATAGTGTGACATTAAGTGCAAAATGTATTTTGTGGCTTAAATATGTTATAGAGCCTCAACCACATCTATTGAGCCAATGCTTATGTTGCCCCTTTTCCCTTGTGTCTGTTTTCTCTTTCTTCAGTTTCTTTGCTGTTCTTTCACTTCTACATTCTTTAAATCATCTGTTCTGTGTTGCTCATCCTTACCCTTTCACCCTATGCTACCCTCGCTCGTCCTGTGCTGAACCCTGTTATTCTGTCTACACATCTCCACATCACTGCTTTAATATTTCCTGTCCTTCTCTCCACCTCTCCTCCAGGACGGCTCCTGTAATGGTCTCCAGCATTATGCTGCTCTAGGCAGAGATGTTATTGGAGCCACGTCAGTCAACCTCATGCCCTGTGAGTTGCCACAGGATGTGTACAGTGGCGTAGCACAGCAGGTCAGCAGCAGTGGGATGTTTTTGGTTTGCGTTGTTTTGTTCCCTTCTTTGAACTGCATGGACTTGGAGAAACTGAATTGTGGTTGATTAATTGCAATGCGCGTTGCAGTTGCTCAGCTGTTAATATTCAAATGACTCACTATATCCCGTAGTGTGTGACAGACAGAGAGGAGAGGTGAGAGGAAACTGCCTCCCATATCCAAAAAACTCAAAGGACAAGTGTGCATACAATGCTATGAAAGGACCCAGCTTGCTGAGAATCTGTGTGTTTTTAAGCCAAAACAATTTGAAGCTGATTGCCGTGTACTGACATTTCAGTACAGGAGGAATCAGAGTGAGCTGAGGAAAAGACATATGTCCCAGGCTAAATCCTTCCAAGGGCAGTGACTGTAACTGCACAATATATTGTGGATTTGTGAGCTGTGGGGGGTGGGGTGGGGTGGGGTGACTGGAATGGAAGTGGACTGCAGTTTGCTGCAGGACTCTATCTCACTCTTGTGCTTTTTTCACCTCTGGGCATTATAGTTATTGTTAGATGATACTGCAGATTTTATCATGCTTGTGAAATAGCCATTCATTTTGATCATTTGGATATCTTGGTGTTTTGGACATTTGGTCACTTTGGGTTGTATAAAACTGTGACTGACAATTCAGCACTTCTGCCCTGATTATATGTATTTGGATTTGTGCGTAAGCATTAAAGTATTCTACAAAAGATGTTTTCAACAGAGGCTGTTTGGCATTTACATGTATGTCATGTAACGTTTCTATGTACCTATGACATGTTTCAGGTGGAGGAGTTGCGAGCAATCGATGCACAGAAAAATGTGACAGTAGCCAAAGTCCTGGAGGGCTTCATCAACAGGAAGGTGGTCAAACAGACCGTGATGACTGTGGTCTACGGGGTCACACGCCACGGGGGACGCCTCCAAATAGCGAAAAGACTGAAGGAGACTGATGAGTTCCCCAAGGTACAGTAGTAGTGGAGGGTGGTGGTGGTGGTGGTAGATGGGTGCTTCCCACTCCCTGTATACTGTTTTATTTTTAGTGTCGTATCAGTGTGGTATGACAGAGAGGCCTTTTAGCACCAGATCTCCTCTATAAAGGGCTCCCCTTGCACCTCAGGCCATACATTTTTACACACACGTTGAGCCCAGATGGACTCGTAATGAAGCACAAGGTCTTCTCTACTGAGGTCTATCCTCTTCGTAAATTATTGCTCCATTGTCTCCTGCATGTGCGTGAAGGCATTCATCACACCGGTGACAGTGACTGCATGCAATTTCAGCCTATTTCAACCTAAAGGGATTCCTGTAACGTCAACCTTGACATTCAGAGTCCCGCCACACCAGGTTACTCCAAGTGAGCTGCATGGAACAAATACAGTTTATTTTAATCAAGTTTATTTATGTATTATCTTATTACAGTGAAATAAGATATTGCATTGTTGTATCAGAGAATCCAGGACTGTAATACAACAGTACATATATTTGATATCTTGTGCACTATCACTGTCATTATCATGATCTATGTTTAGTTCAAAACCATTATACTTCATGGCAGGAGCATGGAAGTGTTAAATCTTCATATAGCTCTGTATAGTTTCTTCAAATAGTTGGAATTAATCTCATTGTGTAGATGTGATTTGCATGATCTTGCTGTCAGTGTATCCACCATCTCACAGCCGGAAGATTGTGCTAAATGACTTCTGCATAATGTCCCTAATTGTTTAAACAGGGAATTGGGGGGTAGTGTAATTGTGACTGATTACAAGAGGATGGATGGGACATTAGGGAAGCTCCTACTGAGGATCAAGATCATATCACTGTAATGATATGAGAAATATACCACTCTCATTCAATGCTGCAGCTTTTATCACTTATATTTGCATTAGACATTTAATCCCTAATGATAACTAAGTGAAAAAAACCAAAACAATCAATACTTTGTTTTAATTGAGAAAGGCAGTGGAGCAAAAAAAGGGTAGTGTGTGTGTGTGTGTGTGTGAGACTGTGCATAATAACAAAAGCATAATCGTGTGCTGTATTTCCAGGACCATGTATGGAATGCATCCAATTACCTGGTCCGTCTGGTCTTCAGTGGCTTAAAGGAGATGTTTACAGGAACCAGAGAGATCCAGGTGGGTTCATTACACATTCATAAAATCAAATACATATCATTTTTTTCATCTGACTAATATAAACTTACACTTGGGGCACTGTGTCATACTTTGAAAGCCCCTATAACCTATAGCCTATAGCCCAGTACAGAGTAATACCCATTTTATTGTATATGTCTGTAATTTCCTAGTAATTTCTGAGGAAGTTTCTTGAAAAGAACTTTGTAATTTGGTAGTAATTATAGGGAGGCAGTTAACACACTTACACTAAATTTATTCCAGTTCATTGTGAGTGTAACTGAGAGAGTATTTTAGTCGGTGCACAGCAGAGCAGCTAAACATGCAAAATTTGTCTATAGACAAAACATGTATATCAAGAATAAAGTTTCCAATAATCAATTCATATTAATTTTGAGTTAGATGAAACTGCTTTTCTCAAAGAAATTATATATATATGCTAGGACATATTTACACTAACTAAACTCATACTAAAATAATTTAAATAACACAACTCGGCCTCCATTTGTGTATTCCAGAAAACTTCAGAGGAAAGACCTGTAGAATAAAACATTAATCCAATTTCTTCTTACTAACCTACTCCTGCATATAGGATGTTACCTTATTTTTATTAATGACTAGTTTACTTCACTATTACCCAGACAACAGCACCCATTCATCACATGGACTTCATTTATAAATTTAGGACGTGCACCTGGTAGGGGATTGTACATTATCTCCACAGGCAGAGAGGAGTCTGGCGAGCAAATAGAAACACCACCCACCGCTGCTGTGTGTGTCCTTTGGGGAATGTGTGGGGACAGCCCAGTCTGAGATGAAAAATCCCCTTCCCATCATACCTTGGTACCTTGTGTGTGTGTGTGCACCTGCTGCTATTAAATAGGTCACATCCTCATCCACATCCTTGCCTTTCACAGCAGTGAGTTGAAGTATGAGTGAGCGAGAGGTAGCTGATCAATCCCCGGTGCTGTAATCCCTTACTTCTCCTGCGTTCTCTGTTCATTTCCCATTTATTCCGTCAACACTCAATACATTCCCTTCAAACTGTCCACTCTTCACTCTCCCCCTCTCTCTCTGCCTCTTATTGATCTATTGATTGATCAGTCAGTCTCTATAGCTATCTCACTAGCTAATCTCTCACTCCCTTTTCTTAGCTTTCATGCCTTTATTTCATTGTACCTGGGGATAAAAGCAAGGATCTGATGATGAATGGAGCAACTTTGAGGCAGGATGCTACCTCGAGTTGCTAGGACATATTTATCTTTCCTACGGCTCTCTGCATGTGTGAGGAGGCACTTGTGGGACATTAATAGGACTTCTATTCTTATAAACTGTGCCAGACACTTACACTAACATTGCTGTTGCACTTGCAATTTTTAGAGTAAGCAACAACTCCTCACCTGTTCCTCTGTAAGTTTGCAACAATTGTTTACCGCTCCAAGAAGTAGAACGGCAGACCTAAATGCATACATCATCTGTTGATGCTGGGGAGAGAAAGTTTCTATTTTCTGTTTGTTGTTCCAAATGCACCATAGTGTCTTGATTTTTATTAAATGCTCCACCCCATAGAATATGAAAACTTCATCACCCAACTGTCCGAAGTCACTGATCACTCAACTTAATTGCTCTGTTGTCCACATACACACACTTACAAACACAACAACAAATAAGAATGCCCTTAAATCCAGTGTGTGCCCTCACTTTACCTCTACCTCTGAACCCATGTGTTGCAGGATTGGCTTACAGCGAGCGCCAGGCTCATCTCCAAGTCTGGCCACACCGTGCAATGGATGACACCCCTGGGTTTACCCATCATTCAGCCCTACCACCAACCACGCAACCAAGTGGTAAGTCTCCTCCTAAGGCATGTGTGGTGGTACAGTTATAATAAAATGTATTTATCTCTGTGTAGGATTAATTGTTTGGACATACTCCACTTTCTGTCAGCCATTGCACTACAGAGCTTCTGCATGATTTCACACATAATTTCACACACATTTTCAAGGAGAGGTTTAAGTATTTGTGCTATTTCTGTAGCTGCTTTTGTAAATCTGGAATTCGAATTAATGTCAGTTGTAGCTGGGCTATTACCTCTTTGGCTTATCTTTATGCTATGCGCCACACCCACTCTTTGAATGTCCACCATAGTTTCTCACACCTAATGATAGACAGCTTAGCCAATTACAGGCCCGTCCTTAATTGTGTATTTTCAGAATTCACCAGTTGGCCTTTCGAAAGTTCTTCTCTTGTATCTTCACCTGTTTGTCGTGCTCCTCTTCTTTGTCTCACCCTTCACAACATTCTCGATACTTCCACAACTGACCTTTTCATAGCACCCACTGCATACACTTTTTAACTCACACAAGTACAACTATATACAGTACTCATTAATCTCTCTCTTGACACACCAAGAATAGAAACCCCTATGTGTACCAGCTTAGTGCAGTTGTGTAATGTGTTAGATTTGACCCATTATTGTCTTTTTGCTCTAATATTTGCATGAGGTAGTAAGGTGCTTTGGATCATTACTTTCACTATTATCATAATTCCACAGTGTAATTTCTACTCTTCAAATTTCATTGGACTTTGATGGAATTTCTGATGAAGCTGATAATAAATGAGGCTGGCCGATTAGCTTTGAGTCGGTTGGTTGGTTTTAAATTGGAGGCATGTAGTAGGCTTACACAAATATGCGCTGAATGAGTATTTATATACGAATATAAGAAGACTAAGAACGGCAGCTCTCCTAATAGCTGTCAACCTATAACAAGCTATAAATCTTAAAATTCAATGTTTTTATCCTCTGAGAACAAGCTGTTGTCCTTGCACAGCCAGCCTTCCTTCACTCACTGTGGTCTGGCAAGGCTCAAGGCTCAATAAGTATTTGCTTGAATTAGGGTCACTGCCAATCTGAATAGACCAAACTACTTTGCATGCAATTTGTCCAACCTTTTTTCAGCTGATTGATGATTGACAAGTGGTCTTCTGGGCTCACACGTGAACATGACTAGATGCATTCAGTACTCAGTGGACTTTCAGAAAGTGCTTCAGGATTTCTAAATGGGGGGGAAAAATGATGACTCTTCTGGTTGTAGCCCTGTGACAGACTGATGACCTTTCAGGGCTCAGCGGATTTCTTTTCTAGACTATCTCAAAGCAAAAAAGTGAGCTCTTGAGATATACTGTAGTCTGGCTTTGTGTTTAGTGTGTCCATAACCCATCCCTTTGTTTTGGCCGCAAACTATTTTTAGGTAAAACCCAATATTCACTTTTTATTTTTTCTCCTCCCCCTCATCTTTCCACAGTGAATCCAACTCCCTAAAATAGTTATTGTCTCAGTCTTCTTATATGCAGGACACCCAACCTATCAGGAAGCTTTAAGTATCGGATGCTTTGCGGGTGGAATGTCCCAGCTAGGCTTTCCAAGTCTCGATAGGTTTGGTGCAGGAGTACACCACTGATGGTGTATTGTGATTGTTGTGAGTGGCCCAACTTTAATGGAGCTCAACAACATCACTAGAGTTCTCCGTCACTATGGAGACCCTGACAGTAGCACGTCTTATAGATAACATGTCTGTGTGCCAGCACATGCGCAGATAACATGCTTTTGTGTGTGGGTATGTGTCTGCATAGGTCTATATGTGTGTGTGATGATTCTGTATAAAATCAGTGTTGACCTTTTTATATCCTTAAGCTCATTAACTAAGTGAAAGGAGGAGACAGACATATAGCGTATGCCAAGTACAGACAGACGGCTGGCTCATGGACTGGTGCAGCATGACGCTTGCTCTTTTAGTATGACATCAAGCAGAAGGTTGGCTTAGAGGGGCAGTGACACCTCACAGGCAGGTGCAAGAGAGTGAGGGTGACAGATGGTGGGTCCCCTGAGGGTGCATCTCTCTGTCGGTGTAGTAGGGCGCATTCCCTTGACTTGATCTGCTTTTTTATGTCCAGCAGGGACGAGGAAGCTGATTAGCATGTGCTTTTTTTCCAATCCCTAAAAAGGAATAAATGAATGTAGCGATGACTTCATGGATGAATAAGGTTTTAGCTTACATTTCACAGATAACTTTCTTCATCCCCTGCAATAATTCTCTAATCCAGTTGCATCACTGGGCAACAAAAATAAAACTAACTTGCAGAAAGGTCACCTTTTCCCTGCATAGCTGGATTAAATTCAATCTCCCAGTCTCCTCTCTGCTTCTTAAATCCAAGGCCACGGTGTTTCTGGGGGTCATTAGTAATTAGACTCTAGATAGAACATGAAGATGAAGTGTGATGCACAGTAGGAAAACCAATAAGTGGAAAGAAAGTAGCTACAATAGCATCACATAATCACACTCGAGTGTGTGCATGCTTGTGCATCTTTGCATTTTTGTTTGTTGGTTCTTTTCAGTTCTTTCAGTGCATACAGAGATGAGTACCTGTGTAATCGAGTATTTTCCGTGGCTGATGGGAGGTGAGGAAATTAGAGTAGGGTGGAGTAGCTGAGTGGAGCATGAACATACATCAGGGAGGCTGCTTAACAGGATTGGGAGATATTAATCGGATCAGAGGTCACTCTGGCTCAGATTCTGTTTTCATTCTCCCTCCCAGGCAAGGTTACAGGGAAATCTCACTCTCAGCGCATGGTGACACAAGGGAATTGTCATCTGGATTGGCTGGATTTGACTGGATTTGTGAGTTTATAGTGTGACTAAAAGTTTGTGATCTAGTGTCCTCTAGAATATAGAAAGAATCAATTTTGGTTTTGGCTAGTAATTTGTGATTTTCCTGGACAGTCATTTAAGCATTATCATTTATTTTTGGTATAGTACAAAACACGTCGTAAAGTAGTTGCTTAGGGTCTAAAACAATACAAAAATAGTCCTGTCAGCATTAATAATGTGTTATAAGTCATAATAGTTAATATTTTTTGAATCATTTTATAAATATCGTACTGATCATGGCCAGATGAAAAGACAGTGGGTCCCTAGGCACAACCATCTGGCAAATTGACGATAGAAACTGTTTGGAACAGGGCAGGCACTTTCAAGAAGTCCGCAGGTGATGAAACGTATGTCTTGTGGTCGATCTGCATCTCTTTGAGACCGCTTTATGTTTTTTCCATCCAATCCATCCATTTTACTGATAACAAACCCATATAAGAATTTTGAAGACTTGCTACCTTGGTAAACAGATATACTTTGCCTGTCTTGCTTACTTTATACCTTTTGTACAGAGAAGGATTGCCACAGACTTGCAGCAGACTTACTGTAGCCTGAGTCAGAATGAGTCAGTTTTTCATTCTAATTCTGAGGAACTACATTTTTCTAAATGTTGACATGATGCTCTCCATGCCTCCTTTTTCCTCGGAACAGAAATTAGCTATTCCCAGGGGTAGGATGGTGTTTTGTTGCTGTTGCAGAATCTTGTGGCATTTTGGGGTGAAATCATGAATACCGAGTGGTAGGAAAAGAAAGTTTGGTAGAAAGAAGGTCTGGAAAAGTTCAGTGGAAGGATGGCTGTGTGTGTGTGGTGCTGTCGTCTGTCCTGCTGCTGTTCGCTGTCTGTCGTGTGGTCCCGTTCTTGTCTGTGTGCTGTCTGTGCTGTGTCTGTGTCTGCAGCTGTCTTCGTCTGTCTTCATGGGGAGAAGGTAAGGTAGAGGACCTGGTGACCCGGAACAGCAGAGAAAGTAGGTGTGTGTGAGGTGTAAGGCAGAGCTGTTCCCCCTTGAATAGGTGAGACGACTGTTATTCACCACTGTGTGATGAACGGGGATTCCCCTCTTGGCAGCATGGCTTGTATATGGTTATTGATGGCTGCTGTATCCATGACTAGTGGTGTTGCAACTCTGATTTACACTACAGAAGCTTTTCCCCGCAAACACGCAGCAGGGTCAGTCAAGGTCTCATCCAGAATAGCCTCAAGACTTGATTCAGGTCCTGTACACAAATCACTCACACATGCATTATAATGAACAGGAGCACGGGATAGGGTAGTGACCTCATTTACAGCGTGGCAGTCCATTACTCACACCAAAGGTAACCTCCATTTCTTTCACCCTCACACCTTTTTTTTTCACATCACAGCTTCTCTTTTCCCTATTCTGACCTATCTGTTAGGACACAGTGAAGGGAGATAAAGAGGGGAATGATGGACATATTTCCCCCACAAGTCCTCCTAGAGCAATGATGGCTGAGATAGCAGCCATGGCAGAATCTAATGGGGTTTTACCACACTATGCTTCTATTTTAAAACTATTTATTGATCATTGTGTGATTCTGTCATTCATCACACAGCGACCTTCAAGTATTTGACTGGAGTCACCACACAGAGTAGCTCGTTGGCTGCCTGAAGATAGCTTGAATGTACTTTGATCCATGTGTCTTTTTAATCTCTGTATATCCATGCATTTTTTATGCATGCATTTAATTTTTACAACAGGGTTGTCATATAGAAATATCATGTAATATGGTGCTGATCATCCATGGTCCCCAGAGGATCAATCCTACTGCCTTTGATCCTGATCTTTTCCACTAGTGTTATCAGAAGGTCAATGTTTTTGCTTATTCTGCAAGGTATCTTAACATCTACTTTATGGATTGGCACAGATTTGGAATAGACATTCAGTGTTCCCAGACAATATATCCTAATGCTTTTGGTGAGTCACTGACGTTAGTGTTTTTTAAAACTACTGGATAGATTGCCATTGAATTTGGTACAGACATTCTTGCATCCTTAAAGATAAACTATATTAACCTTGGTGACCCTGCAACTTTCCATCTAGCATCAAAGTCCTTTTTTTTTTTTTGGCCAATATTTTGGTTTATTTAGACTTTTTGTATTGTTGAATTTAGAAGTCTCCTTAAAAACAGCAGAGAGACAGACTGAAGTGGTAAGGCTATACAGAGAGATATCCTAAAGCTGCTCCGTTGGCACTGAATAATGGAACAACTATTACCTTACAGCAGCCATTGTGAGTTCATTGGGATATGGAGACATTCATTCACAGCTGTAAGTCTTGCATTCAATTAAATCTCATCTGGATGTTATATCTCAAACAAACGTGGAAATTGTTCCACTGAGTGGAACAATTTCAAAAAGTGTCACCTGATGTTAAAAACGGGTGTCTTGATACCACAATTTCTAGCTCAGTGTTTTTGTCGATGCTGACTTAACAAAAATCAATTACTAGATTCATTGACATAGCACAGCGTAATTCTGCTCTAGGGTGCATTATTCCCTTTTAAATGTGTGAAAACACCTCTCCATCAGGGCCCACAAGATATTGCACTCATCCTAAAACCTTTACAGCACCCAAGAGAGCATCGCACATGGAATGCTTGGTTTCCAGCTTTCCAGTAGGTCATTATAGACACGGAAAGAGCATGAAGCTGAATGGGGAATAGTTCGAATTGTGGAAGGATGTGCACTTCAAAGGGCATGTGTGTCCTCAGTGTTCATCCCACAGAGAAGCAAGCAAGATCAAATAAAAGAGCTGTACATGTAGCACCAAACACAGGGTTATTAAAGGCTCCTAAGGAGTTATTTGCATTATGGAAGTTGAATCCAAAGACCCCATCCAGCAGTCAAGTCAATGGCTTGATCCATCTACTTTCTTTCTTTCTGCCTATCCTACCCCACACAAACACAGGTCATGTAAACCCTAGATCACTGAGCCACCCAAATATCAATTGATTTGTTTAGTTTTTTTTATTTTGCCTGGCTGTGATGCAATTCCATGTAGTTGACCCAAAAACACAGAACTGAATGCAAATTAATTGGGAACAAACTTGAACACATTTTCTATTCATTAATATTATTGCGTGTAAACCTTAAACTAATAGTAACGATGTCTAATGACTCTTCACACTAAAAGCACTCATTTGTTTGAGAGTACAGATAGAATTGAAGATAGATTGAAATGGCAAAACATTTCTGCATCAAAGCTGTTCCATCAGTGAAAAAAGAAAGTGTGTTCAGGGAGAACAACAGACACAGAGATTCTCAGATTCATAAGTGTAGGCTGAATGCAAGGTAAACTGTCTAATGCAAAGTGCTCACATTGACAAGGAGTTGGCTGCCTGTTGCCAGCCATATCTCTTTCCTGATAGTAGCCTGTCGTTCCCACCTAGGCACGGTTCCAAGGGTCAGGGAAAGACTGCCCTGCCACAGATGCCTTGGCACAGCTGATGGACCCTCAAGGCTCAGGAGATTAGAGTGCTAAGTCTTCCCTCCACTAGGAACTAAAGGCTTGAGCATTGGTCTCAGAGAGTGTGTAAAAAAAATTATGGTGGGAAGAAAACAGCATAGATCAAAGGGAGGTATTTGCCTGATGCTCTCTCGGCATGAATAGACTGGCAAATAGCTTGCTGTGCTTAATTCATCCTTCCTTTTCCACTGATGGTTGGTCACTGGGGTTGTATTGATAAAAGTACTAGTACTAGTTACTTTCTAAAGTTGTTATCTAAAGAAATAGTAGAGATTGTGTAATTGAGGAGGTCATATTTTGCATTAATGTGTGCTCTTTGCCACCCCCTTTCCCTTTGAGTTTTCTTCAATTAATTAAATTTAATAGAGTCATGAATCACCATGATTGATTACCACCTTCTTAATAAGCTGTGATTTTGTGGCATACTCTTGGTACTTTATATTTTCTCTGCTTGATTTCCCCTACTTTTCTATCTTTTTATTCTCTCTGCCTCTCTTTTCCATCTCTTTCCTGTCCGTGGTGAAAAGCATCACCTTGAACTGATGCTGCCTCCTGCCCTGTCCGGGTGTAGATGCATGTATGTGTGTATATACATATAGATGCTTATCTAGATGTGTCCAAATGTGTGTGCGTAAGGTGAGAAACGGTGATACTCAAACTGCGTCACAGCCCCATGAAATAGTATCTTTGCTAGCTTAATTCCTATTCAAATAAGACTTCAGAGTGGGATATAACACAGTGAGGGATCATTTTGAACTGCAAACCAAACGCATCAGTTAAGCAGGAACAGAGGGAGGGGTGGGATATCTAAAAAAAACTGTGATGGTCTTATTGTTTGGGGCTTTGTTTACACTTACTTGTGCAGGATGAGGTCACCATTAAGGATTCACTGGTTTCCAGGTGACAAGCAACAAGTTTTCTGGGAAACAAAGTCCCTATTTCGTTGAATCTTTACAGAAACCAGTAAAGTGATTGAGGTGTTCCGGGCATGACGAGGTCACTCTAAAGTGCTCTCTCTGATCCAAAAGCTTCTGTTACT